TGAATATACTCCATCTTGCCCTGTATGTTTGGCAAGTTTCATTGAGCTGGATGCGATTGGTGATTTGTAAAGGATTTTTAAAACTGTGCTTTCCAATCGGTCGTCATCAAGCAGAGTAGTTTTTTTCAAAAATTCCTTATTTCAAACATAATACATTTAGTTAGACCTTAGGGTTTTTGTCGCCTCATAGAGCACGCTTAGCTGTAAGTGTCCGGAAAGTTTCTTTGTGACAACTGTTTTCGTTGAATTGTGATCTATGATCACTCTGATTTTCAAAACTTAATTGCTGCTTAATGGACCAGATGAGGAAATTCCTTTACATCTATTGAATAGAGCGTACTTTGCGCTATGTGCCCACAAAGTTTCAACGGGATGAGAGTTTCTGATTAAGTTTCAAGAATTATTGAAAACATAAACGTGTCTGTCTCAGGAAGCACGTGTAGCAGACTGATTTAAAAAAAAATTGTAGCTCTTTAATGTATTAAACAAGACATTGCAGTTTGGGCCACTGGGTAGACTGTACTTTATATATTTAAAGAGTTTAAACGCAATGAGAGTTTCTGATGTATTTTGGCTATTTTTGCAAAATTTTCAAATGTTACAGACAGTTCACCTTTCAGATGTTGCAGAAAGATTTTCAAAAATTCATTGGTTCCCAATAACCTAATCAAAATAATGATGTTTAGTACACTGGATAGAGCGTACTGTTCTCTATAGGATCAAAGAGTTCCAACGCGATGAGAGATTCTGATGAGATTTCGGAAATTCTTCAATTTATCGCACTTTTCGCAGATGGATTTTCAAAAATTCACTGCTCCCCAACGGATTAAACAGGATAGTGCGTTTGGGGCGGCTGGATAAAACGCACTTTACTCTCTTTATGTGTTCAGAGAGTTTAAACGCAATGAGAGTTTCTGATAAAATTTGGCGATTTTTTAAAAATGTAGTTGCCAACTTGTCTGTTTCAGGCATTCCATATTGCAGATGGATTTTCGAAAATTCCTTGCTCTTCAATGGCCTAATCCAGATATTGTTTTTTGCACCACTGCATAGAGCACCGTTTGCTCTAAGTGTGTGAAGAGTTTCAAAGCGATCAGAGGTTCTAAGGAAATATGCCGAATTTTTCAAAATGTGGTTGCCAACTCGTCTATCTCAAGCAGCACATGTTGCAGACTGATTTTCAAAAATTAATTGCTCCCCAATGGCCCTTATTTGGACTAATGCTATTTTTGGATGAATAGAGCGCACCTTATTCTACATGTCCGAGTAGTTTCCACTCAATGGCAATTTCYGAKGAATTTTCACATGTTTTTTTAAAAATATAGTTACCAACTTATCTGTTTCAAATCGCCYCTGTAGACTAGTTTTAACAACTAAATTTGCTTSAAAACCGAATGGGCTASATAAGAGCTTTATGCACCATTGAATAGATCAGACTTTGCTTAATGTGTCCTGAAAATTTGATAGCTCTGGCTGCTTTGGATGATTGGCAAAGAATTTTTTTTAAATCTCTTGCCGTTTTCTATTTGTGATGCAGAGGCTTCCAGGGCCAGTTTGAGTTTCTGTCCTTTGATCGATTTGATTGATTTTCATGARTTGAAAAGTTTACTTTTTGTCGAACAAATCACTAATTAAGTTGCCAATTTTCCCGCTTTGGATGTGGAARCATAGACATGAAACCACTCAAAAACCTTCTGGGAAATCTTCTCCATTTGGACCAGTTTCCGTTAACGAGGTTCAACACCTTAATTAATACACCTCCATTCAATTAAGTGATAATTTACATTGAGGGCATCAGCAACATGAAGATACAGTTAAAGTGAAAACTTCCCTATTGCACCAACTTTGCATACATAAACAATGCGGTTGAATTAAAATGCAGTGTTAAATGGTGCGAATCTA